CGCCGAAAGGGTGTGGGTGTGGATGTGGGCGTGGTAAATCTGTATATCATAGTGATATAATTCAATCATATTAGCTAGCAAGACCGGTTTCGACAAATGCTAGAGAAGTACTTATCAATTGCTTTAGTGATTGAATAGATATTAATAATAATTATATGAAAATATTACTAAGAAATTTTTTAGATTGAAAGCATCGACACGACGTTTCGTCCTTGCTTAAGGGACTCATCATATGGCATAATCTATTATGAATTAAGTTCTATAAAAGAACTAATTTTGAGGGTGTGGATGTTGGTATTACTATATTTTTATTCTATAGTCACACCCACATGGACATCCACACTCACATCCACACTCACACACTCACATCGACATCCATACTCACACACACACATCGACATCCACACCCACACATCGACATCCACACCCACACATCGACATCCACACCCACACATCGACATCCACACCCACACACCCACATCGACATTCATTTCCACATCCACACACCCACACCCACACCCAGACCTCACACCCACATCTGTCGTCACGCCTACACCTCCCACCCGCAGCATCACGCAGACCATTTTATGCATTATTGCATACTATTTGTTACTCCGCTTGTGGGTAAAAACTCACTACTGCGACGATAGAAAGTGTTTTTTTTTCGTTTTCACGGACGTCTTTTATTCGATTGACGTTAACAATTGAAACCGAATGGTGCTATCAGTTTTGTTGGTTTGGTGCAGTACGCCAATGCTGTTGAATGTTTGTTTAAATGCATAATCGAAAATAGTGAATTGCGCATGTTGTTATATAGGTTTCTCCTTTATGAATAGAAATATAATCGCCCAGAATAAAAAAAAATACTCACTAGCAGAGAGCAATTTTGTATGAAAGGTGTAAAATGCAACATCATACAGTAACATTTTGCTTATTCCATTTTTATCGCAGCCAACTGGGCTGAATAAAGTAAGACTTTTGTTGTTTGGATTTGGTTGTGGGATAAAGCTTGTCTTTTTCTGTGTTTCATTGGAAGTCTATCCAATATATTCCGGGACGGGCTTCAGGACAATCTGATACCGTCGTCAACGGCCTTATAAATGTAAGAGTAATAATGTTTCGTAGATTTATCACTCGTTGAGGCCAACAGCGACTGTATTCGATTGTCTTCACCGTTTTCCTTTCTTGACTAGGTAGAACAAGTCTCGAGACTTAAGATTCCACCACTCAGTGACGTCATCTAGACATTCCTTATGCGGTTTTCTACTCTTAGATGTACTTTCCATTGTCACAAACAGTGTGTGTGTTATGAGTCTGATGCCATTCATCCTATAAATGTGACCGAACCGCCTAATTTTCTTTTCATTATTTTTTCGATGACAGGTTTTCGTGCCTTTAGTTCCGTTCTAGTCGGTATTTTGTGCCATATCTTTGTAGATGATTTTCAATATTCTCCGGTAGCACTTCAACTCGAATACTAGCATTTTTCTATTATCTACTTCTTTTAAATTTTCTATTTCTGAACCATGTGAAAGCACACTAAAGACGCATATCTTGAGGATGGTGACCTAGTTCTCTGTTGTTAGCTTTTCACTTCTCCACACGTTTCAAAGAAGACAGTGATTCAACTGCTTTCATAATTCCTTGTTTATTGTCTTCCTAGCAATCATTGTTCCATGTTATCAGACTTTTAAGGCATTCATATTTTTCGACATTATTGATGGTGTCACCTGCAATATGAGCATGTTTATTGATGTTTTTATTACCGAATAGCATCATCTTTATTTTTCCCGTGTTCGTTTTTAGCCCTGCTTTCTCAACAGTTTCTTTCACTTTTCGAATTTACTGATGCAGTGATTCACATTTCTTAGTTAGCAGATCAGTGTCATCCGCGAATCGTAGGGTATTTATCACAGCTCTCCTCATATTAGGGATGCAAAAAATCTTAAGATAGATTTGGATTTGGATTTGGATTTGTGTACAATATTTGGATTAAGGTTTGGGTTTGTAGTCTAGATTTAAACATAGGTGTGGGTTTGTTCATCATCGCATAATTCCAAAGAACTTGGTAAAATATGGTGTATTAACAACAATTCATTGCACTAGGGATAGAATATAATCAGAGAAAGACTTTCGCATCTAGGGCCAAATCGAAAGCCAAACACAAACGGCATGAGACCAAGCCCTAAAATATCATTTTTGCTTCTAATCCATCTTTAGTAGGATAGATTCTTGTTTGTTACGCCGTATCTTATCCAATCTAAATCTATGCCCAAACCTAGACTACAAAATGCAAATCTGATTCCAAATCAAATCCAAACCGGATGATGCCAAACCCAAACCGTTTGGATTTGTTGCATCCTTAGCTCATATTGACTTCGCATACTTGTTCTATTACTGTGTCCATTATTAATTCAAGATAGGCGGTGAACATGAAGTAGGGACACATGATCTCTTTGCCTCGTTCTTACATTCGTTCGAAACCATTCGAGGGTCTCCATTCCAATCCGCACTGTTGATTATTTTTCCCGTATATATATATTGTGAAATAGCATGGCTAGTCTTTGCTTCAAGGCATACAAGCTCAGAGCGCTTCAGATAATTTTATGCTTGATCGTGTCGAAGAGTTTTTAAAACTCACTGAAGCAGTTGTATATCTTCTTGCCTTTTCGTTTTTCTTTCTTGGCGATGAGTGTGAGTATTAGTTTTCGGTGCATAGTGTTTGAGTCTCTTCTGAAAGTTATCTGTTCTTCTGAAAGGCATGACTCTAAGTAGTGCTTTATTAGTACGATAATTTTCCTTGGTCATTCTGTTACACTTACTGTAATATATCGGGGTGTACTTTTTTCATTGTCCGCATGCATCGATAATAGATGAGCAGTCATAAGCCCAAATATATAGTGTTTAAATCAATTCTTTTTGTTTAAAAAGCATGTTTAGATTCAGTGCCTCACAGAGCCTCTTTTCAATGGAAGTTTCTTACTATTATTAAAAAGAATACTTTCAGAACTAGAGTGTCATTTTCAACGACTTGATACAGATGTTGAATTTTCAGTTCCTCTAATCTTCTTACAAAGCAAGAATT